CGCGCCTGCCCCGGGCCCTGGCCCCCCGCCTCCAGCCCCTGGCTCCAGCCCCTGGCCCCTGGCTCCAGCCCCTGGACCCTGGCTCCAGCCCCTGGCCCCTGGTCCCCAGCTCCAGCCTCGGGCCCCAGGCTCCCAGTTCCAGCCTCTGGCCCCCGGCTCCAGTCCCTGGCCCCCAGCCACTGGACCCCGGCTCTGGCTCCTGGCCCCCGGCCCCAGCTTCCAGCCCCTGGCCCCTAGCCCCAGCCTCCGGCCTCTGGCCCCAGCCTTCAACCCCCTTTGGTAAGTGTCCCGCGCCGGACCGACGCGGCATGCTCATGGACCACTGCTCCTTAGGGGGAACATTGGTCCTGGGGCCAGGTACCTAGCACCCCAACCACTTGATGTTCCCTGGGGCTGGGTTCAGGCTGGCCCCCTAGAGGCAGGGCATACCTGGCACTAAAGTTAGTGCCAGGTTGTGTCTACACGCGTGTTAATGTGCATTAACTAATCGTGCCTAAATCTGATACCTGTATTTGCAGGTATCAAATTTAGGTGTGATTAGCCTAAGTTAATGCACATTAAGGGCGCACATGTTTAGATGCACATCCATAATGCACATTAACTTAGGCTAATGTGCATTAACATGTCTCATGTAGATATGCCCATAGAGTTAGGTACCAAGTTCCCTGAATTCAGTGAGTGTTGAAGGATTTCAGTATCTTGCAGAGTCAGACCTACATATAAGTACAGAAAAAGTAGAGGAAAGATGGGTGCCAGCAGGAAGGTGCTTCTATAGTGTTGGATATCTCTTCTTTAGATTCATCCGTATAATTACTCATGGCTAATGCAGTCATCCCAAATGAAATACATGATACTAAAAACTTCAGAGTTCCGTACCCCATTCCATATTTTCGGTGTCTGTGCAGGGGAGTGTGACACCATGGATAAGGTGTGGCAGTCCTAACTCTTACAGCGTTTTACTCTGGGACCTTAGATAAGTCAGGGTAATTTTGCAAAACAACTCAGTACCCACAAATGTCCTCAGATTTTTAAAAGAACTCAATGCTTATGAAACAGTGAACTTTGGAAGGTGAGGAAGAAATGCTAGGTGCCTGGACACTTCCAAAACCTCACTTTGTTTAGCTTCTACATATGTGCAGCGCTGGTGTTGGACATCTGGTTCCAATTGCAAGTACTGAACACTTAAATCTGACCAGATCTATATTGAAATTCTTACCATATGTCCCTGTCTGTCTCTCTTCGTATCTATGAAATGGGGATAAGACTGTTTTTCTGACAGGGAATTATATTACTTATGGTTTTCCAAGTTCTTTTTCTTAGAGTATGAGCAAGCTTTTAGTCTTAGTAGAAATATTTTTTGGGTTGTTTTTAGTTATATAGGACTCAGGCTACAAACTGTGTGAACAGCAGGAGAGTGTGCTTTCTGCTGTGGTGTCTGATTAGAGTCAATTCTTGAGGCAGTGTTGCTCTGTTGGAATCCAACGTAAGTATTGGACTAAGATTCCTGAAAGAGGAGATTGCCCATGTCTCTGTTCTGAGTCTGCGTGTGTGTGTGTGTGTGTGTGTGTGTGTGTGTGTGTGTGTGTGTGTGTAAATAATGCAAGTTATATTTGGAATGTATCCATAGATTTTTCTTCCTGGGGGAAAGCTGCCTAGTGTGGGTCTGAATAGCTATTCCTTCTTACCAGAGGGGCACCACTGAATGAGCATCAGAATGGGACACTGATTTCAGTGAATGGTCAACAATGCTGTTAATTTGCAGGAGAGTGCAGTAGTCAGCGTATGTTCTGAGATTCTGGATGGAAGTTACTCTCTTAGTTCTCTTCATTATGATTATTGTTTGCAATTTTACCTAATTTTTATCTTTTAGAGGAACATCTGGGTTTTTTGTGTTTTTGGCTGTGTCCAGCTACATTAGGAAGTAACTCTGGCTGTTTTCCCCCCATCATGAAAGGAATAATTTTGTGTAATCGAATCCCTGGAAGATCTTTCTCTCAGCTTCATCTGTGCTCCACAGAAGCATCTTACTTTGGCAAGCACTTCAAAACAAAGAAAACTGTCCTTCTGTTATTTC